TCTTTCTTTCTTATTTTATTGGAGCAAATTCAGTATTTTTTTAGGAATTATTTTTATTTCTTAATCGATCATTTTCTTATATTTAAATCAAAGACTAAGGACATTTTTTCTCTATCGCCACATTCCGTCCCACAATGCGTTAGGAAGGCATAACTAAATGCCTAAAAATGATGTAACAATCGTTCAAAATTCTATAATTATTAATTATTCTATTTGCGCCACTGAATCAGTTTCGTCAAGACTTCGCGCAGATAACAAGTCTTTTTTGCAAGTTCTGTTGTTTTATTTCGACTTCGATAATCGAAAACATGTTTCACGTTCTCAGTCTTATAACAGAATCTATTGGATCGGCCGTTGAATATGCAGAACAACTTTACTATGGTGGTAAGTCTAATTTAAAAAATGCGCGCGTGCGCAACCTCTGATAAGAGAACAGACACATGAAAATCTGGTGCCAATTGGTTAACTCGATGACAAAAAATGCCCTCGAGTGTTATCGATACCCAAAAACAACCCCTGGTTCGCACAGATCGAAATTGGAATTTAGCATGTGAAGTCTTCCGGAGGAAGAAGATCCAGAGAACCGGGGGGGGGGGGGACACTAGCTCCAACAAGGGAGAGATCTAACATGCTTTACTCGCGTGTGGAAATTGAGAAGTTTTACATCAACAAGACTATAGTTTTTATTCAAATTGTAGTTCTGTTATTGAAATTGAAAAATAATAACGTATATTGGTTGATTGAAGACTAAGCGAGGTAGATGGTTTAGCGCGATGAAACTGGATAAAATCTGGATCCAGATCGATAGTGTTGGGGAAAATCTAATTAGTGATAATTATCTAATTATAGCGCGCGCGTCAACAATCGTTTGATTTGGTACTATTAGGTCAAACGTCGAACTTCATAAAACCAAACCTAATTGAAACAATGAATAGCAAGGCGGTCTTCTCTGATGTCATTGGGTTCGACTGATGTGAAGTTCGAGGTTTGACCTGAGCTTTACAGTATTAAAAATCGTTTTAACTATTTCGATTTGAGTAAAAAATAACAGGGAGTGTTGAAATACCTCATTTTTAACCTGTTATTAATTAAACTTTAAAGGCTAAAAGGAAAGAGAGAATTCGAAAAGGGAAATGGAACAACTCGAGAGTAAGGCGCTTTTGAAATTTTCGAACTATGCATTCGCCAAAACTTTCAATTGAAGCCGGGACCTCAACAAGTACTGCAGTGCCAAGGGTGTATTGCAGTGAGGTGTGGTGTATAGCATGCATTGCGGTGCGGTACAGTGCATTGAGGTCGTGTAGGCTTGGGTAAGTGCGCATGCACAGTAAGTTGCGAAAGTGGTGGTCTCTAGTTATCTTCTACGCAATCAAGTATTGCGATAAGATGATGTGTGGAGCAAAAATTATGCGGCAAGATGAGCACAGAGAGTGACAGCCAGCGAAAAAAATCGATAAAGTATGAGCATCTTTTCTTCATCGACGTCGCGCGTAAAATTATCCGCGCAGCAGCAGTAAGGGGGACTCGCGGTCAATGTC